GGGAGGAAAAAATGAACCTCAACCCCCATGTCATATCATACATATAAATTAACTCAGAATGGGCTATAGATTTAAATATAAAAATTAAAACTAAAAAGTTCTAGAAGAAGACAAAAGAGAAAATGTTTGTGATCTTAGCATAAGAAAAGATTATTTAATACATAAAAATCCCAAGACATGAAAGAAAAAAATTGATAAGGCTTTCACGGTAGTTAAAATGTCTGCTCTTTGAATAACACTGTTAAGGGAAAAAAATGCAATAACAGTCTAGAAGAATGTGTTTACAATATACGTCTGTCCAAAGACATAAATTAGGAATATGTAAAAGACACATACAACCTATAAAAAACATAGACAGTCTAATAAAAAGTAGGCAAAAGATTTGAATAGAAATTTCACTAAAAATATACATGAATGATAAATAGATACCTTAAAAGGTACTAAACATAATTTGTTGTCAAGGAAATACAAGTTGAAACCATAACAAAATGCCACTATACACTAGTTGGGATGGCTAAAATTAAAAAGACTGACAACACCAAGCAAGAATATGGAGTAACTGGTTTTTTTTATATATTGTTGTGGGAGTATAAAATTGTGCAACCATGTTGGAAGTCTGCTGGGAAGTTTCTTAAAATGTTAAGTATAGATCCACCCAATTATCCAATAATCCTGTCCCTGGGTATTCACCCAAGAAAAGAAAACATATGTCTGCAAAAAACGCTTATGTAAGAATGCTCATAGCAATTTATTCATAATAGCCCCAAACTGGGAAACAGCCCAGATATCCATCAACAGGTCAATGCATAAACAAATGATGGAGCATAATTCAGCAATAAAAATGAAATACTTACATACACCTTGATGGACCTCAAAAACATTTTTGTGTGAAAGAAGCCAGACACAAAAGAATACATACCAACAAACCCATTTATGTGATATGTTATCACAAACAAGACTAATCTGAGGTGATAGAAATCAAACCAGTGCTTGGCTGTGGTGGGTTGACCTTAACTGAAAAGTAGCATGAGGAAACTTTTTTGGTTGATGGATATGTTCTCTATCTTGACTGGTGTGTTGGTTACATTGGTGTGTCTATTTATCAAAATTCATTAAACTATACAGCTAAAATCTATGCATATCAGTGAATTTTCTCACAATTAAAAAGTGCTGCAGTATTTATATTATCTTGGGTTCATTTAAAGAGTGATATACCACTGTTATTTCTTTTTTTTTTTTTTTGCCATACCACTGTTATTTCTTAACAGCTATTGAGGTGTAAGTGACATACAATAAATGGCACATATTTAAAGTATACAATTTAATAAACTTTAACATACCACCACAATTGTTGATATATAAAATGATGTATAATGGTAATGAATGTATTCATCACCCTCAAATTTTTCTTCATGTCCTTTAGAATCCTTCCTTCCTGTTCCTCCTTGCCCCTCCCTCATCCTTAAGAAACCACTGATTTGCTTTATATCCCTATATAGATTAGTTTGTATTTCCTAGAATTTTATATAAATGTAATCATACATTATGCACTCTTATTTATCTGGCTTCTTTTCACTCAGCAAAATTCTTTTCAGGTTCACTAATGTAGTATGTATCAGTAGTTCATTTCTTTTTATTACTGATGGTTATTCCATTGTATGAATATCATGCACTGTGTTTATTCTTTCACCTGTTGATTAATATTTATTTCCAGTTTGGGACCATTACAAATAAGGTTGGCATGAATATTTGTATACAAGTCTTTGCTTGGACATTTGCTTTCCTCTCTTTTGGGTCAATACCTAGGAGTAAATAGGTGGATCACATGTAAAATATATATTTAATTTTCTTCTTTCCTAAAATATGCCTTCTAAGCACTGCTTTAGCTGACTCTTATAATACTTTGATATGTTGTATTTTCATTTCATTAAATATTTTTAAAATTTCTTTTGAGACGTCTTCTTTGACCCATGTGTTATTTATAAATGTGGTGCTTAATATCCACATATTTTGGGATTTTCTAGCTATAGTTCTGTTATTAATTTCTTATTTAATTCCATTATGGTCTGGGAATATACTTTGATTTCTATTCTTTTAGATTTGTTAAGGTTTTTTTGTTTGTTTATGATCCATAATATGGTCTATCTTAAAGAATTTGCTATGACACTTGGGAAGAATATGTATTCTGGTGTTTTGGGATGTAATGTTCTATAAATGTCATTAGGTCAAGATGGTTAATAGTGATTTTCAGTTTATCTGTATACTTACTGATTTTCTGCCTACCTGTTCTATCAGTTATTAAGATAGGAGTGTTGAAATCTGAACTATAATTGTGGATTTGTTTATTTCTCTTTTCAGATCTATTGTTTTTTGTTTCATGTATTTTGTTAGGTCTATATACATTTTTGAGTTGTTATGACTTCTTGGAGAACTGACTGCTGATTTTTCCAATTTATACAGGCAGAAACCTGGGAATAGGGATTATAATGTGGGAATAGATATTAAGGGTGTAGGGTAATAATGGAAGGAATATAAAGTTACATCAGGCCAAATTTACTGATATGGGTCCACTAAGCAGAGATTCTGGACTCAGTGTTGTAGCTCAGGGGATTAGAAATGGCTCTAATTAGTTCAGTTTGGCCCTTCCTTCCTTCCTTCCTTCCTTCCTTCCTTCCTTCCTTCCTTCCTTTTCTCCCTTTTCTTCCTTTTCTTCCTTTCTTTCCTCCCTCCCTCCCTTCCTTCCTTCCTTTCTCTTTATTTCTTTCTCTCTCTCTCTCTTTCCTTCCTTCCTTCCTTGTTTGCTAATATTAGACCAAAATGTGGTTTCCACTAAATGAAGTTGAAATGTCAAAACTACTTTGGGACACTATAGAGAAAGGTATCCAAAGGCTTAGGGAGATTGGAATGTTAGGGTGGATTTATCAGATGTTAGGGTGGATTTAGCAGAAATCAGAATAGTCTGACTCACAGAAACCCATGGTATTGGCTAGTTGATCATCGTGTCCCTAGAAGAGAAATAGGTAGGTGCTGTATTGGTTTAATAGGGCTGCCATAACAAAATACCACAAACTGGGTGGCTTAAACAACAGAAATTTACTTTCTCATAATTCTGGAGGCTGGAAGCCCACAACTGAGGTGTGAACAGAGTTGGTTTCCTCTGAGGCCTCTCTTCTTGGCTTGCAGATGGCTATCCTCTTGGTCTCTTTTACATGGTTTTTTCTCTGTGTATGTGCATCCCTTGTGTCTCTTGATGTGTCTAAAATTCCTTTTCTTATAAAGATAGCAGTCATATTTGATTAGGACCCAAAGTAATGACCTTGTTTTAACTTCATCACTTCTTTAAAGCCTTTGTCTCCATTACATTCTAAGGTACTGGGGACTAGGGCTTCAATATATGAATTTTAGGGAGACACAGTTCAGCCCATAAAAGGCGGTCTCCTCCTAAATATTATATGATATATATAAACAGAAGAGTCAAGTGAGCAGAAGTATAACTTGAAATACGAAAGCAAAATCATAGCCCTTTAAGCAATTTCTATAATTGAGTCAGTTTTCAGACCCAGAATTCCTTGAATAAAGGGGAGATATCCCACTATACTGTTGAAAATATATACTGTTAATATTTCTCTCAGCTTTCCCCAGAGGGACCTATAGTCTTTTATCAGGGTGATATGCATTGGGGGAAAGGAAACAATCAGAAATTTCAAGGATTACTGGACACTAGCTTTGAACAGACACTAACTTCACAAGACCCAAAACATCACTGTGGTCTATTAGCCAGATAAGGACTTAGAAAGGTCAGGTAATCAATGGAATTTTAGCTCAAGTCCATCTTCTAGTGGGTCTAGTGGGTCGCTGAACCCATCCTGTAGTTATTTCCCCTGTTTCAGAATGTATACTTTGGAATAGAAATATTTAGCAACCGGCAGAATCCCTGTGTTTACCCTCGACCTGTGGAATGAGGGCTATTATGGTAGGAAATGGCTAAATAGAAGCCACTAGGCCTACCTCTACCTATGAAAATAGTAAACCAAAGCAATACCACATTTCTGGAGGGATTGTAGAGATTAATGCTACCATCAAGGACTTGAAAGATGCAGGAGTATTGACTCCCATCATATCCCCCATTCAACTAATCATTTTGCCTGCATAGAAAACACAGGATCTTGGGAAATAATGGTGGATTATTGTGAACTTCACCAAGTGTTGACTCCAATTGCAGTTGCTGTTCCAGATGTTGTTTCATTGCCAGAGCAAATTAACACATCCCCTGGTAACTGGTATGTAACTATTGACACAGAAAATGCCTTTTCCCCCCCAATACCTGTTGATAAAAACCACTGGAAACCGCTTGCTTTCAGCTAGCCAGGCCAGCAATACACCTTCACTGCCCTACCTTGGAGTTGTATCAACTCTTCAGCTTTATGTCATAATTTAGTCTGCAGGTACTTTTTCCTTCAACAAAATATCACATTGGTCCATTACACTGATGATATTATGCTGATTGGAACTGGTGAACAAGAAGTAGACTTATTAGTAAGGCATTAGCATGCCCAAGGGTGAGAAATAAATCTGATAAAAATTTTTAGGGGCTTTCCACCTCAGTGAAATTTCCAAGGGTCTGGTGGTATGGGGTATATCAAGATATACCTACCGAGGTGAAGGATAAGTTGCTTCATCTGGCCCCTCTTAGAACCAAAAACAGTTACAATGCCTAGTAGACTTCTTTGTTCCTTGGAGGCAACATATTCCTCCTTTGGACGTATTATTCCAGCTCATTTACGAGTGAACTGAAAAGGTGCTAGCTTTGAGTGGGGCCCAGAACAACGGAGGATTCTATATCAGGTCCAGGCAGTCATTCAGAATGCCCTGTCACTTGGGCCCTATGTTCCAGCAGATTCAGTGGTGCTTGAAGTGTCTCATAGAGATGCTGTTTGGAGCCTTTGGTGGGCTCCTGCAGGTATAGAGGACAATAAACTCTTTTTGTGATTTAATTTTAGAACCAGAACCTGAAGAACCTGAAGACTTTTTAGAAGGTGAAAAACTTGAACAAGAGACAGAGGAAGAGGTTAAGAAGGAAGAGGAAGAAGAAAGAGAAATAGGTACAGAACAGTCAACAATACCAGCCAATTTGGAACGACTTTGGTCCTTTTCCTGTGACTTAACCAAAGGTCTTAATGTAAGCAGCCTTGCCTGGAATAAAACAAATCCTGTAAGTTATTGAACATTTTAAAAATTCTATCTTTATCATGTAAAGGTGACTATCAAGTACTAATGAAGATTTTTTTTCTCAGATTTTAGACAAGGGATTTTAATTGACATAAACCAGAGTTTTAACATCCCTTTACAACAAGGTCATGTTTCAAAAAGTGGAAAATAAAAATAGTTATAAAATAATTTTTTTCTCCTTTAATATGAAAACATCGTATTTTTATTTTAAGAGATGTACTTGGGACATGGTATTCTCTGAATCCATATCAGATACTGAAAGTTAAACCAGAAGATAATATATAATTGATTTCAGATATATCAAACTCATGTACCCAATTTTTTAATTAATTTTGCTTTTAATATACTTGCTTTAACAATGTCTATATAATTTTTTTTGTTTTTTAATTATATTAGTCACCATACAGTACATCGTTAGTTTTTGATGTAGTGTTCCATGATTCATTGTTTGTGTATAACACCCAGTGCTCCATGCAGTACGTGCCCTCCTTAATACCCATCACCGAGCTAACCCATCCCCCCACCCCCCTCCCCTCTAGAACCCACAGTTTGTTTCTCAGAGTCCATTCGTCTCCCCCTCCGATTTCCCCCCTTCATTTTCCCCTTCCTTCTCCTAATGTCCTCTATGCTATTCCTAATGTTCTACAAATAAGTGAAATCATATGATAATTGACCTTCTCTGTTTGACTTATTTCACTTAGCATAATCTCCTCCAGTCCCATCCATGTTGATGTAAAAGTTGGGTATTCATCCTTTCTGATGGCTGAGTAATATTCCATTGTATATATGGACCACATCATCTTTATCCATTTATCTGTTGAAGGGCATCTTGGCTCTTTCCACAGTTTGGCTATTGTGGACATTGCTGCTATGAACATTGGGGTCACATGGCCCTTCTTTTCACTACATCTGTGTCTTTGGGGTAAACACCTAGTAGTGCAATTGCTGGGTCATAGGGTAGCTCTATTTTTAACTTTTTGAGGAACCTCCACACTGTTTTCCAAAGTCGCTGTACCAACTTGCATTCCCACCAACAGTGTAAGAGGGTTCCCCTTTCTCCACAACTTCTCCAACATTTGTTGTTTCTTGCCTTGTCAATTTTTGCCATTCTAACTGGTGTAAGGTGGTATCTCAATGTGGTTTTGATTTGAATTTCCCTGATGGCTAATGATAATGAACATTTTTTCATGTGTCTGTTAGCCATTTGTATGTCTTCTTTAGAGAAGTGTCTGTTCGTGTCTTCTGCCCATTTTTTGACTTGATTATTTGTTTTTTTGGGTGTTGAGTTTGAGTTCTTTATAGATCTTGGATATTAGCCTTTTATCTGTAGTGTCATTTGCAAATATCTTCTCCCATTCTGTGGGTTGCCTCTTTGTTTTGTTGATTGTTTCCTTTGCTGTGCAGAAGCTTTTTATCTTGATGAAGTCCCAAAAGTTCATTTTTGCTTTTGTTTCCCTTGCCTTTGGAGACATGTCTTGAAAGAAGTTGCTGTGGCCTATGTCGAAGAGGTTACTGCCTATGTTCTCTAGGATTTTGATGGATTCCTGTCTCACATTGAGGTCTTTCATCCATTTTGAGTTTATCTTTGTGTATGGTGTAAGAGAATGGCCAAGTTTCATTCTTCTGTATATAGCTGTCCAATTTTCCCAGCACCATTTATTGAAGAGACTGTCTTTTTTCCAGTGGATGTTTTTTCCTGCTTTGTCGAAGATTATTTTACCATAGAATACCAAAATTTATATTTTTCTTAATCATATTCAGAAGTATATACTTAATCTAGTGACTCTGAAAAAGTGCAAAATAATTTTGAGGTTCCTAAAATTAACTATTACTACCAATAATAGCAAATATTTAAATAGCACTTACTATATCCCAGGTGCTATTGCTAGCACTTTACTTGTATTAACACAACAACTCTTGAGTTAGGTACTATTTTACCCAATATGTTGATGAGGAAACTGAAGTACAAAAAGGATAAATAACTTGCCCAAAGTTACACATCTGTTAAATGCCCAAAGTTACACAACTAGTAAGTGAAACAGCTGGAATTCAAACCCAAACATCTGGCTCCAGGGTTCTTGCTCTCAACTGCACTGCCACCAAAAATCATCTTGAGGCAAATTATATGAATCATCAAGGTAGGAATGGTATGTTTGCTTTTAAAAAAGAGATGATTATAGGGGCGACTGGGTGGCTCAGTTGGTTAAGTGTCTGACTCTTGATTTTGGCTCACGTCTTGATCTCAGTGCTGTGAGACTGAGCCCTGAGTCAGGCTCCATGCTGGGCATGGAGCCTGCTTAAAGAGTCTCTTTCTGTCCCTCCCCCCCCTTCTCTTTAATAAAAAAAAAGAGATGATTATAGAGTAACGAGACTTATTTTCTCCTGGGGTTTATAAACTGCTTCTCAAGACATGATTCTCAATTAGGGATTCCAAAAACTTTTTGTATAATGACAATATCTTTGGAATGGATATTTAGTGTATTTTTTTATTATGTTATGTTAATCACCATACATTACATCATTAGTTTTT